TTTACCTACAATCAAAGAGCATTCTGAACTCCATCAATGATGGAATTGGGCCAAACTTAGCACACAGGACTCCCATGACCAACAGAAAAAACTGGAAGGGTTTGGTGGACATTGACCTTGAGTTTGGGAATTATAGTTCACCCACATCCAGAGAGCATTGTGGACTCAAACAATGATGGATCTGGACCAAACTTGGCATGAATATTCCATATGCCCAAATATGAACACAGATGGAGTTTGGAGGAAATAGACCTTGACATTTGGGAGTTGTAGTTGCTGGGATTTATAGTTCACCTGCAATCAAAGAGCATTCTGGACTCCACCAATGGTGGAATTCAGCCAAACATGGCATACAGGACTTCCATGACCAACAGAACACACTGGAAGGGTTTGGTGGGCATTGACCTTGATTTTGGGAGTTGTAGTTCACCTACATCCAGAGAGCACTGTGGACTCAAACAATGATGGATCTGGACCAAACTTGACACAAATATTCCATATGCCCAAATATGAACACAGATGGAATTTGGGGAAAATAGACATTGACATTTCGGATTTGTAGTTACTGGGATTTATAGTTCACTACAATTAAAGAGCATTCTGAAACCCACAAACGACAGAAATGGGGCAAACTTCCCACACAGAACCCCCAGGACCAACAGAAAATACTTCAGGCCATCCAGTCCAACTCTCTTCACCAGGGCAAGAAAGTGTAATCAGAGCCCTCCTGACAGAGAGCCATCCAGTCATAAATATAGATAGATAGATAAGATTCTCTCTCACACACACAGATATAGTATCATAGATTTGAAAGGGACCCCTAAAGAAGGACAATGATATGTTGCCTGTTCCAGAGTAGGCAAACTGGACACTCTCCACATCAACACTGACGAAGAAACAGCAAGAAATACTATTTACCAACAAGCAGAAAGGAATTACATATATTAGAAACCAACACTTTCTCATTACTTTATTTTCCAGATCACCAGACTGAGCCACGGCAACGCGTGGCAGGGGACAGCTAGTAACTTATATAATAAGTTATATAAGTTATACAACGTTGGGTCTCATACATTTTGTGCTCGTCTGATGTACAGCAAGGGCTCAGTTGTAGAAACAATCTGGTAGTTTGATCTGATCGCATAGGGATGAGGAAACACAACATACAAACGCTGATGAGGAAACACAACATACAAACAATCTACAAACCCACCAAGAAAATCCAACAAATGCTACGTTCAGCAAAGGACAAGAGGGATCCTCTCACCTCTGCAGGAGTCTACTGTGTACCATGCAGCTGTGGACAAGTCTACATAGGGACCACCAAACGCAGAATTGCCCAAACACGCATAAAGGAACATGAAAGGCACTGCAGACTACTTCAACCAGAGAAGTCAGCCATAGCAGAGCACCTGATGAACCAGCCTGGACACAGCATATTATTTGAGAACACAGAAATGCTGGACCACACCAACAACCACCATGTCAGGCTACACAGAGAAGCCATTGAAATCCACAAGCATGTGGACAATTTCAACAGAAAGGAAGAGACCATGAAAATGAACAAAATCTGGCTACCAGTATTAAAAAACTCTAAAATTATAACAGCTAAACAACAGAGAGGAAAAAACCAGGCACAGATTAACACCTCCCAGCAACAGATTTTCCCAGGCTTAGGCAGGCCTTCAAATGCTAATGAAGGTGATCAGCTAAACATTCACACCTAACTGCAGCAGGGAAGAGCTCCTTGCCCCACCCCAGCCATTCCACAGATATATAAACCCATTTTTCCTACTTCCAACAGACCTTCTCAACCTCTGAGGATGCTTGCCATAGATGCAGGCGAAACGTCAGGAGAAATGCCTCTAGAACATGGCTCTATAGCCCGAAAAACCCCACAAGAACCTAATCTGGTAGTTTGATTATGCAAAGTTTTGCAACAGTGAATAAGGAAAAAAGGAAAGAGACAGTCCCAGTGGACATGGAAGAGAGAAGGAGCTGGCTCTAATATATAATATATATGTTCATATTTTTATTTATCTTGAGGCTGAGAAGATTGGGCTTGGAAGGTGAGGGAAAGGTCAATCCTGAGGTATTGGAATCACAGCCTAATTTGGGCTCCAGAAGTTTCCTCGGAATCTCACCAAAGGAGAGTTGCTCAGATGAAAGTGTTAGCGGGTTGTTGTAGGTTTTTTCAGGCTATATGGCCATGTTCTAGAGGCATTCTCTCCTGACGTTTCACCTGCATCTATGGTAAGCATCCTCACTACCTTGAGGATGCTTGCCATAGATGCAGGTGAAACGTCAGGAGAGAATGCCTCTAGAACATGGCCATATAGCCCGAAAAAACCTACAACAACCCAGTGATTCCAGCCATGAAAGCCTTCAAAAAATTAAAAGTTTTAGCATCTCCTGGATTTCAACCTCCCAACAGTTTCCCATCCTTGAAGTGACTGGCTTGACCTTGAAGGAGCTGGGGGTGGTGACAGCCGACAGGGAGCTCTGGCGTGGGCTGGTTCATGAGGTCGGAAGCGACTGAACGAATGAACAACAGCACTGGGATTGTGGCACAGCTGGCTGAGTGTCAGCTGCATTAAGATCACTCTGACCAAAAAGGTCATGAGTTCGAAGCCAGCCCGGGTTGGAGTGGGTTTCCAACCAATTGTGTGTAGCCTGTTGTCGACCTTTGCAACCCGAAAGACAGTTGCATCTGTCAAGTAGGAAAATAAGGTACCACCTTAAAGTGTGGGGAGGCTAAATTAACTGATTTAGGAGGCCATAAAGAAGACTCCAGCAAAGCATTCCAGCGGGGAAGCATGCGGGGAATGCGGAAGTGCTTCATCAGCGTCGCAGATGGACGATGAAAGCGACAGCTCCCCTGGCGGCCAGAAAACGTTAAATAGCCTCTGTGTATGTCTGTATATGTTTGTATGTCAAAAATTGGCATTGAATGTTTGCCATATATGTGTACACTGTAATCCGCCCTGAGTCCCCTGCGGGGTGAGGAGAAGGGCGGAAGATAAAAGCTGTAAATAAATAAATGAACAACAAACAGTTTCCCAAGCTCATATATTACATCAAGTTTATTTGATTGCCCAGGAATATGTCTATGACTGCACTCCAGTTTTGTGAATATATATACATGAGTCTTCATCTCCCTCTATTTATTCATAAACCTAAACCTACACACACACAAGTTCCAAAAGATTTTGTCAAGGAAAACCTCTATAAGGGGTCTGGGACCATTGTTTTCCCTTTGGATGGGCATTGCCTCTGACCTGTGGGGTTTCCTGTCAAACTAGTATTCGGCTTGGTAGGTGATTAATCCTCCCAGGAGTGTTTGGGGCTGGGCTGGGACTGAGACCCAGCTAAGAAATGCAAAAATACGTTATACATTTATAGTTATTATTATTAGAGGAGGAGGAAGGTTGATTTTTCTGGATGGTCAGAATTGGGTTGGGGTAGTGGCTGGTCACTTTCAAGCCTGGAACCTTGCGAGACACACTGAGGAATAAAAGAAAAAACTCTAACGTGTTTTGGAGTCCAGTCCTGGTTCTCAAAGATAAGTATTATTTTGAAACATCTGAGAGTACTCTTTTCCAAGGGATGGCAGAAGGAGATGTATTCGCAGAATGGCAGATTTTCAGGGGATACAATCTGGCTTACTTTGGGGTCCCTTTTCGGAGGAGGAAGAAGATATGATGATGTATTCATGAGGAGTGAATGTGTACATGTGTGGGTATGTTGACCTAAATGTAATTCCCATTTTGTTATTGAAGGCTTTAATGACCCAGAATCACTGGGTTGCTGTGAGTTTTCTGGGATGTTGGCCATATTCCAGAAGCATTCTCTCCTGACATTTCGCCCACATTAGAGATGCCTGCCATCTCTCAGAGATGCCTGCCATCTCCGAGGATGGCAGGCACCCTCAGAGGTTGGGAGGTCTGTTGGAAATTAGGCAAGTTAGGATTATATATCTGTGGAATAATGTCCAGGGTGGGTGAAAGAACTCTTGTCTGCTTGAGGATGTCCACCTGAACACCAAGGCCATCCTCTTGGTCTCTTTTGGGGGGACCGGAGGGGGGGGGGCGGTGGACAGGACCTCCAGTGTGGAATTTGGGGGCTGCCTGCTGTCCATGGGTTTCTGTGAGTTTTCTGTATGGCTGTCTAGGCATGTTCCAGAAGCATTCTCTCCTGACGTTACGCCTGCATCTATGGTGAAAGGCATCCTCAGGTTGTGAGGTCTGTTGGAAACTAGGAAAATTGGGTTGATCTATCTGTGGAGTAATGGATGAGGCAAGTGTGAATGTTGCAATTGGCCACCTTGATTAGCATTGAATGGTCTTGCAGATTCAAAGCCTGGCCGCTTCTTTCTCCCACCCTGGACCTTCCACAGATATATACACCCCACTTGCCTAGTTTCCAACGGACTTCAAAACCTGTGAGGATGCCTGTCATACATGCAGGAAAAATGTCAGGAGAGAATGCTTCTTGAACATGGCCGTACAGCCTGGAAAATTCACCACAACCCAGTGAAAAAGTGATTCCCATTTGTATGTGTGCTCAATGTAGAATGCAGGAGGTGTGGACTAGTACTGATAACGTGTTTCTGTGTGTTTGCCATGTATCTACCGAACGGAGAGGAAACAGTTTTACGACGTGCTTAGAGTTAGTAGCGTCTGTTGTTTATAGTTGTAAATAAAGTTTGTGTGTTTCCCCATCATGGTCAACTGTGAATCGCACATAGGGTATTTCCTGCGCCTGCGCAGACAGTTCAGATGAAAGGAAATACCATATGTGCATAATCACAAGTGACCACTTGAGGAACTATGGTTACAGGTAAGCAACCTAGATTTGCCTTCTTTCTCTGTATTGCTCTGTGGTATACTCTCATTATAAACAAAAGAACCCCTTTAATGCTGGAAAAGTATTTACGACATTTCCTTCCTTCTTTCCTCTTGTCTCGTCTCTTCTGGCCACCCACTCCCCCCATTTATTAGGCTCAGGAGCAGGAGCGCCTGCGTAACTTCCAGCAGCTGCGCCGCCTGGACGCGGAGGCTCTGGTGCCCAACCAGGAGTCCATCGAGTGCCGCATCTGCTACATGGAGGCGGATCCCGGGCAAGGGGTGCTCCTCCGCGAATGCCTCCACAGCTTCTGCAGGTGAGTTGGGTGCCTGAGTAAGGGGCAGGGGCCAGGTGAAGCAGCCACCGTAAACATCCTTCCTTCCTTGGTCATCAATGAACACCAAGTGGAGAAGGTGGCCAGTTTGAAGCTCCCGGTTGTCCCTGGGAAGTAGGATCTGACCTGGGGCACCATTCATACAGAGACTGGACTGAGACTCCTAAGGAACCACCTACTGAATGAAATGTTGAAGTTGTTTGTATTTTGTAATGTAGATTTCAAAGTATCTAAGTATGTATGTATGTTTAAAATGCAATGCTATGTTCCGAGAATATTCCTGTGTGGAAAGAGTTAACTGTACCATGGAGAGAACGGCATTTCTAGAGAGGTCATAAATCAAAGTGTATAGAGCAATGAACGCACGTTGTGTGTCGTACATCATACCTCACTCTGGAATGCAGGAGGTGTGGACTAGTACTGATAACAGCGTGTTTCTGTGTGTTCGCCATGTAGCTACCGGACAGAGAGGAAGCAGTTTTACAATGTGCTTAGAGTTAGTACCTTCTATTGTTTATAGTTGTAAATAGTTTATAGCCTAAAGGTGACTATGATGATTGTGTTCCTTGCCTTGCTGTGTGGCCAATGTTCACTGTCATTCCATACTTTGTTTTTTAACATGATTGTGAGGTCAGAAGTGTTCTGCTCCAGAACTCTGTCTACTCTGGAATGCAGGAGGTGTGGACTAGTACTGATAACAGCGTGTTTCTGTGTGTTCGCCGTGTAGCTACCGGACGGAGAGGAAGCAGTTTTACGATGTGCTTCTGTTGTTTATAGTTGTAAATAAAGTAGTTTATAGCCTAAAGGTGACTGTGATGATCGTGTTCCTTGCTTTGCTGTGCGGCTGATGTTCACTGTCATGCTGGTGGCTTTCTTCCACTGTGCTATAGAGTGTCCTAACCCACTGCATCTGTGCATGGTAACTGCACAGTGGCAGACAGGAAGGTGCTCCAAAGGGTTGCCACGTCTTCCTCTTTGAGAGAGTCCTTCAGCCTCAAGAAAGCTCAGAGCATTTGTGGGGATCCATCTCATCCAGCATATAATTCTATTGAAATATTTGCACCTGGCAGACGCTATAGTGTGACAAAGGCAAGGACAAACAGACTGAGAGATAGCTTTTATCCTAGAGCTGTGGCTATGTCGAACTCCATGGCTTTGCAAAGATGTGGCACTGGGGACTGTGCCATGATGAATGTGGAGGATGGGTGTGTTGTTTTGAGATGTGTGCTGGGGAAAGCAATTAATTTTGCCGTGCAATTGCACAATGATGAACGAAGCTATTCTATTCTATCCTCCCTTCCTTCCTCCCTTGCAGGGACTGCTTGCGGCAGCTGATCAACTGCACGGAGGAGCCCCAGGTGCCCTGCCCCTTCCGGGACGACTCCTACGCCTGCGGCAGTCACCTCCAGGATAGAGAGATCCGGGCGGTGAGTGATGGGCACCTTCTTGGCCTCTCTAGGAACCTTCTTGGCCTCTCTAGGAACAGGAAACAGACTTGTGGTCCACTAAGACTTCTACGGCCCTTTCAAGTCAGGTGCCCCCCCATCATTCCCTATTTTTGGGCTGAATGACCTTGCCAAAATTAGGGTGTGCATTACATTCACATCCTACGGCTATCTTAGTGCTGAACCAAAGTCAAAGGTGAAGCTGCTTCAGGAGCTCATCTTTGAAGGACATCATCTCTAGTTTCATGACCATGGCTCAATGGTCATGAAACCAGTGATACTGACAAGTTGGATTGTGTCCAGAGGAGGGTGACTAAAATGATCAATGGTCTGGAGAACATGCCCTATGAGGAGCAGCTTAAAGAGCTGGGCATGTTTAGCCTGAAGAAGAGAAGGCTAAGAGGAGATATGAGAAGGGCGACGGATCAAGACGTGAGGGGGAGCATGGAGCAAGCTTGTTTTCTGCTGCCCTGGAAACTAGGATGCAAGGGAGCAATGGCTTCTAACTACGAGGATTGAATGGAAAGTAATGCCTCCACCTTCGTTACTTGTGTTTGGATGGGAATATTTTGATAAATCAAATGCAGAAATAATCCTGAGAATGTGCTCTTCAACGACTACTATTCACTTTCCCACATAATCACCAGACAATTGGATACATTTCTGCTAACAATGAACAAGTTTTCTGAAGCCGTCGCGAAAGAAGTCAACACTCTATTTCTCTCAACGTCTTCATCAGAAGCATAATAAGGTCCCCGCAGATCTTCTTTCATGATCGGGAAGAGATGGAAGTCAGACGGACTGCTAAATCTGGACTGTATGGAGGATGCCATATGGTGGTGAGACCCAGTCTCTGAAGTTTCAAGTCTGTGCGCTTCCATTTCAGGCGTCAGCATCCTGGGTATCCATCATGCACAGATCTTCCGATAGCCAAGCAAAGGAATAATGTGACCCACACGTTCTTGTGAAATGCTGATTATGCTTGAAATTTCTCTCTGAGTGATACGACGATCATCCTGAATCAATCTGTCAACCTTTTGCTTGTGAAACTCAGTGTTTGTGTCACAGGACGTCCAACTCTTTGTCACGCAAGTTAGATGTTCCCACCTCAACATCTTTAAACGTACCCACCCAACAACACACAGTACTCACATCCACACAATCCCCATAGTCAGCTTGCATTCTCTGATGAATCTCCTTCGGGGTGACACCTTCTGCTTCAAGAATTCAATGACTGCACGTTGCTTAAGTCGCATTGACCGACCATCTGCACAGGGTTCCATACTTCGCACTTTAACAACACAACCATTCAATGCTAAGGCTTCCCACCAAAATGGAATTATAGAGGAGAGTCTACTGAACAAGCCAGTACCTGTTGCATACCCGTACTGCCATCGGTTGAGGAGTTACAAAGGTGGAGGCATTACTTTTCATTCAACCCTCTGTATGGCAGTCTGGACTCAGCTAACCCAGTTCAAAGCAGATATTGTGGGATTTTCTGCCTTGATATTCTGGGTTATATGGCTGTGTGGAAGGGCCTATTATTATAATTTCATTTGGTGCTGCTTTTCTCCCTTTGGTGGGATTCATCCACAAGTCAACTACAAACTAGATGCGAGCTGGGAGTGTGATGCAGCAGCGCAAAAGGCCCACGCGATTCTCGGCTGCGTCCGTAGGAGTCTAGATGGAGTCTAGATGCTTAGTTCAGGTCTCACCTGAAATGACCGTGTCTGTGGTCAGTTCTGGGCCAAGCAAACCAGGACGATATAGGCAAGATGGAAGGGGAACAGAGAAGGCTGTTCCTAGTGAGGCTAGGCTGAGGAACACCCTGAATGTCCAAATCATAGAATCAAAGAGTTGGAAGAGCCCTCCTGGGCCATCCAGTCCAACCCCATTCTGCCAAGAAGCAGGAATATTGCATTCAAATCACCCCTGACAGGTGGCCATCCAGCCTCTGCTTAAAAGCTTCCAAAGAAGGAGCCTCCACCACACTCCGGGGCAGAGAGTTCCACTGCTGAACGGCTCTCACAGTCAGGAAGTTCTTCCTCATGTTCAGATGGAATCTCCTCTCTTGTAGTTTGAAGCCATTGTTCCCTTGTGTCCTCAATCTATGGCTGATACCAAATGAGAGACACAGAAAACTGGGCAACTTGGAAGGCGCTGAACAGACTGCGCTCTGGCACCACGAGATGCAGAGCCAACCTCAAGAAATGGGGCCACAAAGTGGAATCCTCGACATGCGAGTGCGGAGAAGAGCAAACCACTGACCACCTGCTGCAATGCACCCTGAGCCCTGCCACATGCACAAGGGAGGACCTCCTTGCAGCAACACCAGAGGCACTCCAAGGGGCCAGATACTGCTCAAAGGACATTTAATCAACTACCAAACTCACAAATGTTGTATTCTGTTTGTTTGTTTTGTTCTGTTAGAAATGTAATATAATTTGACTGGTTGTCCTGACACGAGAAATAAATAACCACAGTGTGCATTTGGGTTTTAATCCCCGTCCATGGCACCTGTCCTTCTCCGCAGCTGGTGTCCTGGGATGAGTACGAGCGCTTCCTGGAGCGGCGGCTGGCGGTGGCGGAGAGCCGGGCCCAGAACAGTTACCACTGCCAGACGGTGGACTGCCTGGGGTGGTGCATCTACGAGGACGACGTCAATGAGTTCCGCTGCCCCATCTGCTGGGCCCTCAACTGCCTCGTCTGCAAGGTGGGTCTGCACATGCGGCTCGGAGCCGTGGCTGGATTCGTTCTCCTTCCTTGTGAGAGCCTGACCACCACCAACCACCACCTCTCTTCCAGGCCATTCACGAGGGCATGAACTGCAAGCAGTACCAGGACAAGCTGCAGTTCGAGGCTCACAACGACGCCGCGGCCAGGGAGACCAGCAACATGCTCAAGGTGAGGAGGACCTGGCAAAGCTTCCTGGGGGGAGTGGAGAAGAACCGGTGGCCGGTGTCCTTTTGAGGAACAGCCCTCCACTTCCAAATGGGGATCCCTTACGCTCTTTCTCCTTCCTCCATGGTGACCTAAGAACTGCCCATTGCCAGAACCATAGAACCCCAGGGTAAGAAGAGACCCCAAGGGCCATCCATCCTCGTAGCCTGAGGATGATGGTCCTCCAAGTGTAATGTCTTAGTGGTGGGTCTGTAGGTGACTATAGAGCCCTCTTCTTGACCTGCATGTTCTCCCACAGTGAGGACATCTGTTTCCAGATGGAAGGCCATCCCGGTTGGGGTTGACTTGATACGCCTTCCTCTTGGCACGTTTCTTACTTTTGCTCTCCATTCCTGTCTCTTTGAGGATGATGGTCCTCCAAGTGTGGTGTCTTAGTGTTGGGTCCGTAGGTGACTATGGAGCCCTATTCTTGACCTGTATCTTCTCCCACAGTGAGGGCATTAGTTTCCAGGTGGAAGGCGGTCCCAGTCAGGTTGGCTTGATGCACCTTCCTCTTGGCACGTTTCTCTCTTTCGCCCTCCATTTGTGCCTCTTTGAATTCTGCAGCACTGCTGGTCACAGCTGACCTCCTGTTAGAATGCTCAAGGGCCAGGGCTTCCCACAGTTTTTAAGGTCTATGCCACAGTTTTTAAGGTTGGCTTTGAGCCCATCTTTCAATCTCCTTTCCTGTTTGCCAACATTATATTTCCTGTTCTTGAGTTTGGAGTAAAGCAACTGCTTTGGGAGACGGTGATCTTTGGGCATTCGGACAATGGCGTGTCCAGAGGAGTTGACGGCAGAGGACTATTGTTTCAATGCTGATGGTGTTTGCTTCTTCCAACACCCTTGCATTTCCCTGCCTCTCTTCCCAAGAAATTCACAGGATTTTTCGGAGGCAGCGCTGATGGAATCGTTCCAGGAGTTGCGTCTGATGTCTGTAGACAGTCCACGTCTCGCAGGCGTAGAGCAGGGTTGGGAGGACAATCGCTTTATGAACAAGCCCCTTGATCTCCCTACGGATGTCCCGGTCCTCAAACACTCTCTCCTTCATTTCTCCGCCTGTCTTCCCAAGAGATTTGCAGGATTTCCCAGAGGCAGCGCTGAAGGAATCGTTCCAGGAGTTGCATGTGATGTCTGTAGACAGTCCACGTCTCGCAGGCGTAGAGCAGGGTTGGGAGGACAATAGCTTTATAAACAAGCCCCTTGGTCTCCCTACGGATGTCCCGGTCCTCAAACACTCTCTCCTTCATTTCCCCGCCTGTCTTCCCAAGAGATTTGCAGGATTTTCCAGAGGCAGCGCTGAAGGAATTGTTCCAGGAGTTGCATGTGATGTCTGTAGACAGTCCATGTTTCGTAGGCGTAGAGCAGGGTTGGGAGAACAATAGCTTTATAAACAAGCCCCTTGGGTCTCCCTACGGATGTCCTCAAACACTCTCTCCTTCATTTCCCTGTCTGTCTTCCCAAGAGATTTGCAGGATTTCCCAGAGGCAGTGCTGATGGAATCCTTCCAGGAGTTGCATGTGATGTCTGTAGACAGTCCACGTCTTGCAGGCGTATAGCAGGATTGGGAGGACAATAACTTTATAAACAAGTCCCTTGGTTCTCCCTACGGATGTCCCGGTCCTCAAACACTCTCTTCTTCACTAAGTTCTTGTGGCTTTTTTCGGGCTATATGGCCATGTTCTAGAGGCATTCTCTCCTGACGTTTTGCCTGCATCTATGGCAAGCATCCTCAGAGGTAGTGAGGTCTGTTGGAACTGGGGAAAAGGGGTTTTATATATCTGTGGAATGACCAGGGTGAGACAAAGAACTTTTGTCAGTTGGGCTAGGTGTGAATATTTCAGCTGACCACCTTGATTAGCATACAATGGGCTGACTGTGCCTGGAGCAAACTCTTCTTGAAAGGTGATTAGATGTCCCTGCCTGTTTTTCTCTCTGCTGTTTTTGCTGTTGCAATTTTAGAATTTTTTAATATTGGTAGCCAGATTTTGTTCATTTTCATGGTTTCCTCCTTTCTGTTGACATTGTCCACATGTTTGTGGATTTCAGTGGCTTCTCTGTGTAGCCTGACATGGTGGTTGTGAGAGTGGTCCAACGCTTCTGTGTTCTCAAATAAAATGCTGTGTCCAGGCTGGTTCATCAGGTGCTCTGCTATGGCTGACTTCTCTGGTTGGAGTAGTCTGCAGTGCCTTTCATGTTCCTTGATTCTTGTTTGGGCAATGCTCCATTTGGGGGTCCCTATGTAGACTTCTTGTCCACAGCTGCATGGTACACAATGGTAGACTCCTGCAGAGGTGAGAGGGTCCTTCTTGTCCTTTGCTGAACGGAACATTGGTTGGATTTTCTTAGTAGGTCTGTAGGTGGTTCGTATGTTCGTATGTCAGCCCATTGTATGCTAATCAAGGTGGTCAGTTGAAATATTCACACCTAGCCCAACTGACAAAAGTCCTTTGTCTCACCCTGGTCATTCCACAGATATATAAACCCCTTTCCCAGTTACCAAACAGACCTCACCTCTGAGAATGCTTGCCATAGATGCAGGCGAAACGTCAGGAGAAATGCCTCTAGAACATTAATTTATTTATTTATTTACTTTGCTTCTATACCGCTGTATCTCAAGCCCGAAGGCGACTCACGGCGGTTCACAAACAGTAGAAACAGTAGAAACAGCAGTGGTTCCATACAACATATAACAATTGACTTAACACATTATCCATAAATTACCAATAAGCAATTACAATGCACAATTATTACAAAAAACAACCGTACCCAATCTTCTCATCATCCAAGCGTAGTCCAGGTTCGTCGTCCCTTGTTCCATTCCTATGTTCCATTACCAGACTGCACTAAATTACTCAAACGCCTGCACAAACATCCAGGTCTTCACCTTTTTGCGGAATACCATTAGAGATGGTGCTAGTCTAATGTCCGTAGGAAGGGCGTTCCACAGCCGAGGAGCCACCACCGAGAAGGCCCTATCTCTCGTCCCCGCCAGCCGAGCTTGAGAAGCAGGCGGGATCGAGAGCAGGGTCTCCCCGGAAGATCTCAAAGTCCTGGTGGGTTCATAGGCGGAGATGCGGTCGGATAGGTAGCTTGGGCCGGAACCGTGGCCATATAGCCTGAAAAAACCCACAAGAACTTAGTGATTCCAGCCATGAAAGCCTTCGACAATACACTCTCTCCTTCATTTCCCTGCCTGTCTTCCCAGGAGATTTGCAGGATTTTCCAGAGGCAGTGCTGATGGAATCCTTCCAGGAGTTGCATGTGATGTCTGTAGACAGTCCACGTCTCGCAGGTGCAGAGCAGGTTTCCCCCAAAGCCCTGGACAGGACCCTGTGTTGACTTCCTCCCCTTCCTGTTTTCTTTCCTCTTCTGTCAGATGCTGGTGCAGGTGGGGGAAGCCATGCACTGCCCGGTGTGCCGTATCGTGGTGCAGAAGAAAGGTGGCTGCGACTGGATCCGGTGTCCGGTCTGCCAGACAGAGATCTGCTGGGTGACCAAAGGGCCGCGATGGGGGCCGGGGGTAAGGGACAAGCGGAGAGAAGGGCCGTAAACTCTAGGGGGGGGGGGGAGGGCCCAAGTTGGCCCAGGCCTCACCTGATCCGTGTCTTGCCTTTTCCTGCCTTAGGGCCCCGGGGACACGAGCGGAGGCTGCCGCTGCAACGTGGACGGAGAGCGCTGCCACCCCAACTGCCAGAACTGCCACTGAGCTCCACTCTCACCGGAGGGACGACAGGTCAGACTGGACACGGCCTTTGGCCAGCCCATTTGGCTGCCTTCAAGGGCCATCTGCGGCACAGAGGAGCGTCTAGATGCCCTGGAGGGGCCCCTGGCACTCACCTTAGGGATGGGGCCCCAGAGAAGCCTCGGCAGGGGCAGTTACTAACCCAGGTAAACCTCTTGCGTTTTCAGTCCCAAGCAAGGCTTCTCCAATTTTGGGTGGTCACCCCACCCTCTTAACTCCTCTCTGTAATCTTTGCGCCCCTTAAAACACTTTAAGGGGAGGCCCTGCTTGTTTACTTTGCAGAATCAGGGAGAGAGCAGACCCCCAACCCTTTCAAAGCCCCCCCCCCCCCCCCCCAGCCCCGAAAGCTGTTGCCAAAGACTTTTGACACTAAGCAGAAGGAAACCCTTCCAGCAAAGGAGAGAGGGAGGGAGGGAGGGAGGGAGGGAAGGGGCATCCCCTTGAACTGACCGTCCGCGGCAGCAGCAACCGGCCTGCAACCTGGAGTGAGTTCGGGGCTGGCGGAGGGAGACGTGGACGTGTGTGAATGCCGTGGAAGGGGAACACAGCCCCACAATAAAAAAGACTAAAACACTGGGAAAGTGCAAGGGATTCTTTCCAAGGGTGAGGAGGGGGGTGGCGAGGGGCAGAATAGTCATGGAGGGGCACACAGGGCTCGCCAGCCTTCCTTTGCGTCTCTGCCTTGTCCTGCGTGTCCATCATAGAACCACAGAGGTGGTGGAAGAGACCCCAAGGGACATCCAGTCCATCCCCGTTCTGCCAGGCCACAAGATAGCCATCCAGCCTCTGCTTGGAAACCTCCAGGGAAGGAGTCTCGATCAGACTCCCAGATAATATAGATCCAACCAGAGGTTAAAGGGACCTTCAAAGGTCATTCAGTCCAACCTCCTTCTCCCAGGCACAATCCAAGTGCTCCCAACAGATGGTCATCTAGCCGCTGGTTACAAACCTCCAGGGAAAGGGAATCTATCGAACTCTAATAATCTATATTCAACCCGACGTGGAAGGGACCCCCAAAACCAGAGGTTCAAGGGGACCCCACAAAGGCCATCCAGTCCATCTCCCTGCTTCTGCCAGGCAGCAAGACACAATAAAAGCGCCTCCAACAGATGGTCATCCAGCCTCTGACTACAAACCTCCAGGGAAGGGGATTCTGTATCAGACTCCCAGATAATCTAGATTCAACTAGAGGTGAAAGGGACCCCCAAAGGTCATCCAGCCCACCCCCCCTTCTGCCAGGCAGCAAGACACAATCAAAGCCCTTCCAACAGATGGCCATCTAGTCTCTGGTTACAAACCTCCAGGGAAGGGGATTCTGTATCAGACTCCCAGATAATCTAGATTCAACTAGAGGTGAAAGGGACCCCCAAAGGTCATCCAGCCCACCCCCCCTTCTGCCAGGCAGCAAGACACAATCAAAGCCCTTCCAACAGATGGCCATCTAGTCTCTGGTTACAAACCTCCAGGGAAGGGGATTCTGTATCAGACTCCCAGATAATCTAGATTCAACTAGAGGTGAAAGGGACCCCCAAAGGTCATCCAGCCCACCCCCCCCCCTTCTGCCAGGCAGCAAGACACAATCAAAGCCCTTCCAACAGATGGCCATCTAGTCTCTGGTTACAAACCTCCAGGGAAGGGGATTCTGTATCAGACTCCCAGATAATCTAGATTCAACTAGAGGTGAAAGGGACCCCCAAAGGTCAGCCCACCCACCCACCCACCCCCTTCTGCCAGGCAGCAAGACACAATCAAAGCCCTTCCAACAGATGGCCATCTAGTCTCTGGTTACAAACCTCCAGGGAAGGGGATTCTGTATCAGACTCCCAGATAATCTAGATTCAACTAGAGGTGAAAGGGACCCCCAAAGGTCATCCAGCCCACCCCCCCCCCCTTCTGCCAGGCAGCAAGACACAATCAAAGCCCTTCCAACAGATGGCCATCTAGTCTCTGGTTACAAACCTCCAGGGAAGGGCAATCTATATTCAACCACAGGTGGAAGGGACCCCGTCCCAAGTCATCTGGTCCACACAGCCCTCCTCTTGCCAGGCAGCAAGACACAATCATAGCCCTCTCAACAGATGGCCATCCAGCCTCTGCTTGAAAACCCCCAAAGGCAATCCAGTCCACCCCTGCTTCTGCCAGGCAGCAAGACACAATCAAAGCGCCTCCAAAAGATGGTCATCCAGTCTCCAGTTGCAAACCTCCAGGAAAGGGGAATCTATCAAACTCCTATCTATATTCAACCAGAGGTGGAAGGGACCCCCAAAGGTCATCCAGTCCATCCCCACTTCTACCAGGCAGCAAGACACAATCAAAGCCCTTCCAACAGATGGTCATCCAGCCTCTGGTTACAAACCTCCAGGGAAGGGGGTTCTGTATCAGACTCCCAGTAATCTAATTCAATCAGAGCTTAAAGAGAACCCCAAAAGTCATCCAGTCCAACCTCCTTCTGCCAGGCACAATCAGAGTCCTCCCAACAGATTGCCATCCAGCCTCTGGTTACAACCTCCAGGAAAGGGAAATATATCCAACTCTAATAATCTATATTCAACCCGACGTGGAAGGGACCCAGGGAAGCAGAAAACAAGCTTGCTCCCTCCTCCTCCCTGTGGCTTCCTCTCACATATTTATACATGGCTCTCATGTCTCCTCTCAGCCTTCTCTTCTTCAGGCTAAACGTGCCCAGCTCCTTAAGCCACTCCTCATAGGGCTTGTTCTCCAGATCCTTGATCATTTTAGTCCAATCCACCCTCTCTTCTGCCAGGCAGCAATACACAATCAAAGCCCTTCCAATAGATAGTCATCCAGCCTCTGGTTACAAACCTCCAGGAAAGAGGAATCTATTGAACTCAATAATCTAGATTCAACCAGAGGTGGAAGGCTGCCCCAAAAGTCATCCAGCCCACCCACCCTCCTTCTGCCAGGCAGCAAGACACAATCAGAACCCTTTCAACAGATGGGCATCCAGCCACTGGTTACAAATCTCCAGGGAAGGGGAATCTATCAAACTCCAATAATATATATTCAAGCAGAAGTGGAAGGGACCCCCAAAGGTCATCCAGTCCAACTTCCTTCTGCCAGGCACAATCAGAGCCCTCCCAACAAATAGCCAACCAGTCTTGGTTTTAAAACCTCCAGAGAAGGAGACTCCATTGGACTCCAAAGCAACATATTCCAGTGTTGATCAGCCCTTACTGATGGGAGGTTCTTCCTAATGTTTAGGTGGAATCTCTTTTCATAGAATCCTTGAGTTGGAAGAGACCTGGTGGGCCATCCAGTCCAACCCCAGGAAAATCTTATTCAAAGCACCCCTGACAGATGGCCTTCCAGTCTCTGTTTAAAAGCCACCACCACAGTCTGCAGCAGAGAGTTCCACTGCTGTTTTCCTCTCATTTGAACCTCAGCTGCTTCTCAGAGAGATTCACGGCTACCATTCCCTACCGAACACACACACACACACACATTGGACTTGGGCATGGATCACAGAGTCCTGTCTGGTTGAAGAAGCGCATTTATTGGGTGCCCGCCACCCCCGCGACTCCCAGGGTCCGCTTCCCAAGACTCGGCGGGTGACAGACCGGATGGAAACGTGTTAAATAACAGCCAATGAAGAGAGGAGCAGCACACGCCTCTCCTGCCTGCCTGCGCATACATTCCCAGGGCAGGAGAGGGCAGGGGCCGCCCCTTGGCATCAGGGAGAGGTCCGCGCCCTCTGTGCGGATCACTTGGGTGGCCGGTAGGCAATCTTCCTGCTCTTGAGGACGGACCACTTGTGCCGTTTCAAGTAGTAGGTGAGAGGCACAAGGAGGGCCCCGATCAGCAGCACCTGTTTTGGGGGCAAAGGCAGAGGAGAGGTCACAATGGTGGGCAGGACCATGGGCCAACTTGGGCCCTCCCTCCAGGTGTTTTGGACTCCAACTCCCAACATTCCTAACAGCCTCATGCTCTTTCCTTTTCCCCCTCAGCCGCTTAAGCACACAATGCTTCAGACTTCACTAAACTAGCCATGGGCCAAACAAATACAAAGCCAGCGGACCTGATGGGATCCCTTTTGCCATTCAGTACTATCCATCTGTCAAAAGAACCGGAGCTTAAGCGGCAGAAGGGGAAAAGGAAAGGGCCTGAGACTGTTAGGAATGGTGTGAGTTGGAGTCCAAAACACCCAAAGGACCCAACTAGGGACCCCCCCTTTCTCCCAAGGCAAGAGGAGACTGACCTTCAGGCCCATCCGCTTGCGGTGATCATGCTCCGGCTCCGCCGCCCATCGCAAGAAGGTGCAAACATCCTTGGCGATCTGGGACATGGTGGCCGGGGTACCTGCGTAACATGCGAGCATACACTGGGGTCAGCATGGAGGAATAGCGTATTTATCACATAATAGTTGCACTCCCTTTTTTGGGAAAAAAACTGACATAACCTTTTGGGAAAGGGCATTCATTACCCTTTGGGAAAACCAGGAATCTCCCTGAGAAGGGTTGAAAAACTTGCTTGAGACAACCTTCTCCTTAGTGGTAAATATCCACTAGTATTCATGCAAAGTTTCTCAACTGTTAACCTGATAGACCTAGATATCCCTCTGAACTGTTAGGGCCAAACCTATGCCTGTATGAATGTGTGTGTGTGTGTGTATGTGTGTGTGTGTATTATGCTTGTTTGATTAAAAAAAGGTTCAAAACCCGTTTCGGATGTAGGGGGGCGGTGGTGTTTTGATCCGGAAGTCCATTCTGATTTTCACAGAAAAAAATGTTCAAAACTTTTCGAAACTTCCGAATCCTATCCTGAATGGTTTGAAAGTGTTATTTCCCTTTCCATTGGGTGGTCATTACTTTGAAAGTAGTTGTTTTGCTCCAGAAAGAGAAGGAGAGCAAAGGTAGGGTATTCATCCAGTCTGCTTTAAAACGCTTCCCGGGCTTGAGACCAGGAGCGGGGAAAAGCGGAGTCATTTCCGACTCACTTACTGCTTCGTAACAGAAATGGCGGAAAAAGCTTTGGAAGGGCAAAGGGACTTCCGGTTTCCTTAAAAACTTCGAAATTGCTTCAAAAAGCAAATCTTTCCAAATTCATTCCAAATTACAAATACTATTTAGTTATTTATTTACAGTATTTTTACCCCGACCTTCTCAACCCGGGGGGGGGGGGGGGGGGGCCTCAAAGCGATTCCGACCGAACCTAATATATATATATATGTGTGTGTGTGCGCGCGCGCGCGTATATGTTTATATATAGGGAGAACAGAGTTTCGGAAGTGTTAAACATCTCCTCCCTTAAAACATCTTGATTTAAATCATGCTCTCAGGAGACTAAAAGTTAAGTAGTCTTCGTTAAAAGTAACACAGTTGCTGTAACAAGTTGCCATCTGCATACAGATCTAGACACGTTACATTATTTTTGAATGTATATTTTCTGATTATATATCAGTTTGTTTGTGTCAAATAATTAATAAATAAAAAATAAAGTAAAAAATATATTAAAAAGAGAAATACGCAAAGTACATATGTATTGTCGAAGGCTTTCATGGCCGGAATCACTGGGTTGTTGTAGGTTTTTCGGGCTATATGGTGATGTTCTAGAGGCATTCTTTTCTGACGTTTCGCCTGCATCTATGACGACTTCACTACCTCTGAGGATGCTTGCCATAGATGCAGGCGAAACGTCAGGAGAGAATGCCTCTAGAACATGGCCATATAGCCCAAAAAAACCTACAACAACCCAGCAAAGTACATAAATTGAATAAAGTAATAACACAATATAGCAATAAATAAAATGCAGCAACAGCCAGGATGTTATAGAAATTTCTGCCTGACACATTGCAATAAGAGAACCTTCCTGCTTCCACAATCAGACAAACTCTTCCCTAAAGAGATCTTGCCGTAATTGCAACTTAATCCAAGCACTAGTCCCAAATAAAGGAGACCACCTGAATCAACAGCTGAATACTAAGCTAATACTTATGTCAATTGCATTGATTTACACAAAGAATTGGTTTAGGCCATAGAAGTGTTGGCTTCCAGATGCTGTTGGATAGTAGTTCCCATTAGTCATAGAGTATTAGAATTTTAGAAGTAGATGGGAACAAATGGGCCATCTAGTCCACATGCACCACAGCCATTCAGGAAAACACAGCCAAAAAAAAAAAGTAACATAGTTGGTTTACTCACAAACTTCCATGTATTCATCTAATCACCTCTCAACAAAAGTTTGCTCTAGGCACTGTCAAGCCATTATATGTTAATCAAGGTGGTCAGTTGAAACATTCCCACCTAGCTCCAGCAGACAAGAGTTCTTTGTCTCACCCTGGTCCTTCCACAGATATATAAACCCTTTTTCCTAGTTCCAACAGACCTCACTACCTCTGAGGATGCTTGCCATAGATGCAGGCGAAACATCAGGAGAGAATGCCTCTAGACCATGGCCATATAGCCTGAAAAAACCTACAACAACCCAGAAAAGGAAGTGACTTCCTCATGCAGAAAGGAGACAAAGACACCCTGAGTTAAACAGATCTAGGAAACAAGAGGGAGAAAACAGAAGAGCAGGCCTGCCCCATGGGTTCCCTCCGTGCCCTATCGATACAAGGGTAGGTGCTTCTTTCTCTCCTCGTTCCCTCCTTGCACCCACTTACCATCCTCAAACTCCAGGATCTCGTTGTAGATGGGGGGCGCCATGCCGATGGCTTCTCCGGGGAAGTAGGGGTTGTAGTAGAGGCCCTCCCGCAAGCTTATACCACCCGGCGGATCGCAGTAGCCAGTGAGGAGGGAGAACACATAGTCCTCACCGCCGTGCCTGGAAAGCAAGGGAAGGCAGAGACAGAGGGTCAAGATAGGTGGCCAGAGGAGGGCCACCCAATGGAGATTCCACCTGGACATGAGGAAGAAGGTTCTGACAGTCAAGAGCTGCTCAGCCATGGAATATGCTGAATGGGAGCCCACTGGAGCCTCCTTCTTGGGAGGATTTTAAGCAGAGGCTGGGTGGCCATCTCTGGGGAGGGCTTGGATTGTGTCTTCCTGCCTAGCAGAAGAAGGTTGGTGACCTTTTTGAGGCCTCATCCAACTCCAGGATTCTATGATTATATGATGCTGTATTCCTAAAGATTGAGGAATTGTCTTCTCTGGGGACTTTTCAGCAGATGTTGGATGGCCTTCTGTCAGGAGGGCTTGGTGTAAGACTGTAGGATCAATATAGCAATATTAAATAACCACTCACAAGCCGTTTTTGCTTTGAAATGGATATATTGCTTGTATCTCTGCAGCAAAGGAAGACCCTACTGACTTTTTCCCACCACTACTTCCTTTTATACACTTTTCCTGCCCATCTCCCCCCTCTTCTCAGTTTCCTTATTAGAACTTGTTTCACAAGTTCCAATACAAGGTTTCCAGCGTCCTCTGCTGGCTTCAAAAAGTCACAGAGATAACTGAGCCAGGATGATTAGGTCAGGATGTCACAGAGGGAATTTGTGATGTCTTCATGACGTCAGAAATTGACTCCTGACACTTGGATGGTGTCTGAAGGGGGCTGGACCAGGCCTTCCTTGGGGTCTCTTCTGATTCTATGATTCTACGGATCAAGGCTGCCAACGTGTCCAACCTGGGCTGCTCCTGGAGCATTTTCTCGACAGACCAGAGGGAGGCAGGCCCATTGTCCAGCTCCATTAACCTCCCTGCAACGCACTCCCCTTTGGGCCCCATTACCTGGCATTGACGATGTAGCTGAGATCTGGAGGGAGGGCTCCGTTGTTGGCTGCCCGGGCCGCTTCAGGGTTGGGGTAGGGCTTGGGGAAATAGTCCGAGAGCTTCCCAGGGCGCATGAACATCTCCCCGTTCTCGTCTGGGCCGTCCTGCACCTCGACCTGAAGCGGGAGAGAGGCCAGAGGTCAGCCAAGGCCGTCCCGAGGCAGAAACACCTTGCGGCTGCCCATCTTGTCCCTCCAACGCTCCCAATGGTGGGGTGGTGGGCCCCCCCTCTCCCACCCACCTTGGGGTCCCCCAACTGAGCAGAACCCAGCCTACCTCCTCCGCCAGGGCCTTGGCTTCGGACTCTGTGTGTGAAACGCCAACGAGGTTGCGGAAGGCCAGGTACTCCATGCTGTGGCAGGCGGAGCACACCTGCCTGTACACCTGGTAGCCGCGCCGGACGCTGCAGAGACACCAGGGTCAGCTTACGAGACCTCCTTAATGCTTTTCCCCATTGAAGGTGGGAAAATGTGGCCCCAAAGGCAGTCTGGGACTGCAACTACCAGCAGAGCCAATATTAAGGAATGCTGGGAGCCACAATGCAATAACCAGGCAGCCCAAAGTTGCCCTCCCATCTTTCAGAGTACAATCCTTGGAAGATCCAGGATAGACTACTGCAACGCACTCTACGTGGAGCTGCCTTTGAAGGCAGTTCAGAATAATAATAATAATAAACTTTTATTTATACCCTGCTACCATCTCCTGCAGGACTCAGTGCAGCTTACAAGAGACCGAGCCCAAATACAACAATAAAACGCAACAACAACAATACAACAATAAATAACTCATAACGAAGCAAAACAATAACAATAATATCATGACGCATTTAAAAACCTGTGGCAGGGCCAAATGTAATGATTAAAATTTTTAAAATGCTGAAGAAGCTTCAAATAGTCCAGCAAGAATCAGCCAGGTTAATAACTGAGGTGGCATACAGGGAGCATACAACCCTCATGTTACATCAGCTCCACTGGCTGCCAGTTTGCTTCTGGGCACAATTCAAAGTGCTGGATTTGGCCTATCAAGCCCTCAACGGCCCCGGCCCAGTTTACCTGTCTGAACGCATCTCCCTTTACGAACCACAGCGGAAACGAAGATCTTCTGGGGAGGCCCTGCTCTCGGTCCCGCCATCATCACAGGTGCGTTTGGCGGGGACAAGAGACAGGGCCTTCTCAGTGTTGGCCCTCGGTTTTAAATAAATAATAAGTAAGATGAATCACAACAGATACAACACACACAACCAAAGCAAACACAGACATTTAGATGCAGCAAGACAATAAATGCCAGCCCCTCTTCTCTTCCTGCTGTGGGGAAACACCAGTTGGAGCATCAGCTGGGACCCAAACTGTGAAGGCAGAACGGGATGCGCTACCCACAGCTCCATGTTCCTCCACCCACAAGAAGGCAGCTTTCAGACACCCAATTATGTTGCCATGATCTGTGTGTGTGTGTGTGTGTGCTGTGGCCAGGAGAAGAGGATACTTTTTCATTGCATCCAGGTACAGACAGCACACTCTACTCCATGAGATCTCAGGGCAACATGTGTGACTCCTGGGTGCAAACTGCCCTGGGCTTGGGATGCAATGGCACCTACACTACAGAATTGATACAGTTTGGAACCACTTTGGCTTCTATGGCTCAATGCTGTGGAATCCTGGGAGCTGCAGCCTGGCGGGGCAACAGCGCTTTTTGGTAGAGAGGGCCAAAGACCTTGTGTGTGACTACTACACTGATTTAATACAATTTGACATGAACTACCTGCCATGGCTCAAGGCTCTGGGACCCTGGGAGTTGCAGCTCAGTGAGGCAACAGGCCTCAAAAAACTGCAACTCCCTGGATTGTTTCCTTTGTGAGGAGGAAAACAGAAGTCTGGGTGGGCCAAAGCGGTCAGCCAAAGTAAGAAGAGATTGACCAGCTGGAAAATGTCCAGAGAAGGGCCACCAAAATGGTCCAAGGCCTGGAAACTCTCTGAGGAACAGCTGAGGGAGTTGGGGATGTTTATCCTGGAGAAAAGAAGGCTGAGAGAAGAGGAGAGGAGGGCCAGGTTTGCATACTGGAAAGGGGGTCAACAGAGGAGGGAACCTGCTGCTGCTGCTTCCGAGTGCAGTGGAATCACCTTCTCTAGAGGTTTGAAAGCAGGAACTGGATGGCCCTTGGGAGTCCCTTTCAACTCTTATTACTCAATAATAATAATAACAACAACAATATTATTATTATTATTATTATTATTATTATTATTATTATTATTAAATACCCCGCCACCATCTCCCTAATGGGAGAAAACACTGGAAGGGTTTGATGGGCATTGACCTTGAATTTGGGAGTTGTAGTTCACCTATATCCAGAGAGCACTGTGGACTCATGCAATGGTGGATCTGGACCAAACTTGGCACAAATAGTCAATATGCCCAAATGTGAACACTGGTGGAGTCTGGGGAAAATAGATCTTGACATTTGGGAGTTGTAGTTGCTGGGTTTTATAGTTCATTACAATCAAAGAGCATTCTGAACTCCACCAACAATAGAATTGGCTCAAACTTCCCCTTCTCAAATGACCCCTCTGACACCCCCTCCCGACCCCCAGGTTGAGAAACGCTGATAGAAGGTGAGCAGAGCAAGGCAAGGATGCCAAGGAAGACTCCCAATGCCTGCGTGCCAGCCCCAGAGGCTGGTCAAAGCCTCCCGCCCCACCTGTCCCTTTCAATCGCCAGTACCTGCTGTGATCCAGGGCGGAGAGGGGTCCGCCGTGGCTCCAGGGAAAGCTGGGCGGGTGCAGCTCCAGTTCGCCTGCGCTGACCGCCGAGTGGAGGGCCACAGCCAGGCCGGCCCCTCCAGCCGTCAAGACTCCCAACACTTTCAGGACCACCTTCTTGCCTCGCGAGAGACCCGCCAGAGATGCCATGCTGGCCTGCAAATGGAAAATGGAATCAGATCCAGGTGAGAGGCAGCCCAGATGGCAACAGCGGTTTTGAAATGCCCACCAAATAATAATAATAATAATAATAATAATAATAATAATAATAGTACTTTATTTATACCTCGCCTCCATCTCCCCCCAAGGGGACTCGGGGCGGCTTACATAAGGCCACGCCCATCAATACAGTAAAACACAATATAAACACAAAAACACAACAAAAAATCAGAAAATAAATTGCATAAGATACAAAACCAATATAAGTAAACGACACAGCAGCATAAAATCAAACATTAAAACACAGATGATCACACTGGGCAGGGCCAAAATCTATATAAATAAAAATGTAATGTTTGTTTGTGGGATTAACATAACTCAAAAACCACTGGATGAATTGGCACCAAATTTGGACACAAGACACCTCTCAGGCCAACAAGTGACCATCATTCATAAAAACACTGAAAAACACAGCAGAAGAGACTTTAAAAGCCAAAAAACAAAAATACATTACAATGCATACGCAAAATGACATATATACACATATACACAAATATACACACACAAAACACATATATACAGACTGGGCTACAGCAACACATGGCAGGGGACAGCTAGTCAAGGATAAAATTTTAAAACACTGGGAGATAGGACAGTGTAAGAACCAGGGAGGGGGTCTGAGGATGAGGTAGGATTTAATTGCACAAACTATAAAATAAAGTGATAAACTTAGTTTGGTTTGGGTGCCGGATTAGGCCTTTGGATTCTAAATAACTTCATCCAAATACAGGCAGTCCCCAAGTTACAAACATACGACTTATAAATGACTCATAGCTAAGAACGGGGTTGAGAAAACAGGAAGTGAGAGGAATCTTCCCTTTGGAAGGAAGGGAAATCCACTCCTGGAAGAGTTATTATTATCAGGGGGAAATGGGTCTCCACTGAAGCTTTATCCCAATCCTTGTTTCTTCCACAACAAGTGATTTTTTTCCAAAATCCAATTCTTATAGAGATAAAAGTGAGGTAGAATCTTTTGAATAGGGGCCAGGACAGCAAATATATAGGTACATTGGGATTGCAAAGGCTTGCAGGGGGAAATGCCTACCTATCTTCCTGGCTTGCAAGGGCTTGTCTCCCCCTCCTTTTCCTTTGCAAAAAATTCCCTTCTCACTTTTTCAATAATGATGATGATGATGATAGATCTTGCAGATTTGCAAGAGTTTTTCACTCTTTTTCTTACCCTTCCACCCATGCAATCTTTTTCTTCTTCCCGACTTTCCCTTTTCAAAACATTCCCCCTCCTCCCCGCTCTCTCTTAAAAAATGGGCAACTTCAGCCTGGGAGGAGAAGAGGAGGGAAGCAGGCTTTGGAAAAGAAAACACACTGTTAAGGTAGGGGAAGAGGAGAGAGAAATATATTGCAAGCAATGGCTGGATACGGCTCTAGAAGGGCTACAAGGCATGATCATCAAGTTTGCAGACGACACCAAATTGGAAGGGATAGCCAATACTCCAGAGGACAGGAGCAGAATTCAAAACGATCTGGACAGATTAGAGATGGATGGCCAAAACTCACAAAATGAAGTTCAACAGTGACAAATGCAAGATACTCCACTTAGGCTGAAAAAACAAGATGCAAAGAGACAGAATGGGTGACAATGAGGCCTGGCTGAAGAGCAGGACGTGCGAAAAAGATCTTGGCGTACTTGTGGACAACAAGTTAAATATGAGTCAGGAATGTGATACGGCGGCAAAAATAGCCCATGGGATTTTGGCCTGCATCAATAGGAGCACAGTGTCTACATCCAAGGAAGTAATGCTACCCTAGACAGATGGTATCCTCTCGCTTCTGCAGGAGTCTACCGTATCCCATGGAGCTGTGGACAAGTCTACACAGGGACCATCAAACGCAGCGCACAAACACGAATCCAGGAACATGAAAGGCACTGCAGACTCCTTCAGCCATAGCAGAGCACCTGATGAACCAGCCTGGACACAGCAGATTATTTGAGAACACAGAAATGCTGGACCACTCTCACAACCACCATGTCAGACTACACAGAGAAGCCATTGAAATCCACAAGAAGCATGTGGACAATTTCAACAGAAAGGAGGAGACCATGAAAATGAACAAAATCTGGCTACCAGTATTTAAAAACTCTAAAATTACAACAGCAAAACAACAGAGAGGAAACAATCAGGCACATCTAATCACCTCTCAACAAAAGATTGCCCCAGGCACTGCCAGGCCATCAAATGCTAATCAAGGTGGTCAGTAGCACTATGTCCTCCAAAGCACTTTACATTGTTTTAGGTCTGCTTGTATGTTTTCCACAAATGCTCCATCACTTTTTCGCCCATGTTCCAGCATTATTCTCAATTTTAATTTTACATTTGGCCTTCCCATAGTTTTAATTGTGTGTTGTCTTATTGTTAATGTTTCGTTATTTTATTGTCTATGTTTTATTTTAATTGCTTGTATTGTTGTAGTGTGGGCTCGGCCTCATGTAAGCCACACCGAGTCCCTTGGGAGATGGTAGCGGGGTACAAATAAAGTTTATTATTATTATTAATAATAAACATTCACAGCTAGCTCCAGCAGAACAGAGTCCTTTGTCCCACCCTGGTCATTCCACAGATATATAAACCCCTTTTCCTAGTTCCAACAGACCTAACTACCTCTGAGGATGCTTGCCATAGATGCAGGCGAAACGTCAGGAGAGAATGCCTCTAGAACATGGTCATATAGCCCCAAAAAACCTGTAACAACCCAGTGATTCCGGCCATGAAAGCCTTCGACAATACATTCACACATATATATCATAGTTTTGAAAGGGCTGCCCCAAAAAGAAGAAGAATATCTTGCATGTTCCAGAGTAGGCAAACCAGACACTCTCCACATCAACACTGACAAATGAGCAAGAAATACATAGGGACCACCAAACGCAGCATTGCCCAGACACGAATCAAGGAACATGAAAGGCACTGCAAACTCCTTTAATCAGAGAAGTCAGCCATGGCAGAGCACCTGATGAACCAACCTGGACACAGAAGATAATTATCTGAGAACACAGAAATGCTGGACCACTCTCACAACTACCATGTCAGGCTACACAGAGAAGCCACTGAAATCCACAAGAAGCATGTGGACAATGTCAACAGAAAGGAGGAGACCATGAAAATGAACAAAATCTGGCTACCAGTATTAAAAAAAACTCTAAAATTACAACAGTAAAACAGCAGAGAGGAAACAACCAGGTACATCTTAACACTTCTCAACAAAAGATTGCTCCAGGCACTGCCAGGCCTTCAAATGCTAATGAAGGTGGTCAGTTGAAACATTCACACCTAGCTCCAGCAGAGAAGAGCTCTTTGCCCCACCCCAGCCATTCCACAGATATAGAAACCCGTTTTCCTAGTTCCAACAGACCTCACTACCTCTGAGGATGTTTGCCAAAGATGCAGGCGAAACGTCAGGAGAGAATGCCTCTAGAACATGGCCATATAGCCCGAAAAAACCCACAAGAACCTAGTGATTCCAGCCATGAAA